CTGCTGGGCAGCTGGGCTTCGCGAGCAGCGCCTGGTAAAGCTCCTGGATCTCAGGGAGGGTTACCTGGAGCAGCTGCGCCTCCATCAGCAGCTCGCTCACTTCTGGGCTCACACCTGCCCCAGAGCAGACAGGTCACCATGCGGACGGCCACGGGGTCGCCCACAGCCAGACCGCGGCACGGCAGAGGGCCCCCCAGCCACCACCTGGCCTTTGAAGTGACCTGCACCTGAAGCCCAGCTTCACCCAAGGTGCCTGAGCATGAGCACAACGGAGCCCACCCTCGACCTCCTGAGTCTCCCGATGGCCAGGGACGTACTGACCCTACGGCGACCCTGCTCGCTCCGTTACTCTAAGGCAGCCCTGACGCGGGCACCGTGGCCCATGGAAAACAGCTTCCGCAGGCGCGCGGGCGGCCGCTACAGGCAGGGCGAGGAGGAGAGGAGGAGGCAGCTCCCTGCGGCTCCACCCCGACCCCCACAGTCTCCTCAGGAAGGAGCAGCCCGGAGCCACGGCTCCGCCTCTGAGGAAATGCTGCCTTGATTCTCCCGGGGGAGGGCTTCCCCCTCCCCGCTGAAGGGATGGCTCGGGGGACCTCCTGCCTCCTGGTCGGAAACATTCGCACTGGCTCCTCCTACTTGCAAACGCCCGGTCCCCTCAGCCACGGCGACATCGCCTGCTGCGCCCCAGCCTCAACACGCATGACACACGCACCGTGGAGGGGAATGCAGCTCCGTCCCGCCGAGAACGGAGCCTGCAGAGATGAGCTCCTGCTGTCCTGGTCGCCGGGCTCGGAGGACGCGGTGCCGGGAGGCTGAGGCGCCTGAGGGAGGAAGCAGGGCAGTCAGGCCGGCCCGGGTCCGAAACGCCTCCCCTCCAGGGCCGCAGGCAGGCAGGCACCGGCCACGTCTCTGACCCCAAATCAGTACATTAACAGTCGTGTCCTCCCCTCGACTAGCAACCACGGCCCTGGCAGAGCCTGCACAGAGGGACATGTGTGCCCCCGTGGGCTGCCCACAGCCACCTCGCATCTGGGCCACGAAAGTGTAACCCATCGCTTGCTAAGTGCCAGGCACTGGATTTCAAACGCCTGGACAGAAACGTAAAGAATGAGAAACATGAAGACCAACTCTCTGTCCTCCTCTCTGGCCTGCTGACCTCTGAACTCACAGGATGTTCACGGCCTGTGTCCCTCGCTCTCGAGGGCGCTGGGACCTCCCGCCGGCCGGCCGGTTCAGCCGGGGAGGAGGCTGCCTCCGGGTGGCACTTCGAGTCTCCACCTGCGGCAGTTTCCGGGGACACGGACTCGGCCAGCATGGTGGCCAGAACGCCAGCTTCCACAGGAAGCTCAGACGGTGTGAGACCGAGGCCTCTCCCCTGGTGCCTGGGCCCTTCACCGTTCTTCCCCCAGAACGGCAGGCAGAGGGCCAGGTCCAGTTCTACTCAGCGCGTTAGAGAAGAACGGGGAGAAAATAAGCAAATATATATATATACACGCACACACGTGCCAGGCATGTACCTGGGCCCTACACACGCACGGAAACAGCGTGTGCACCTGCTCCAGAGACAGGCTGGCCACTGGAGCTGAGAAAACACGGCCACGTGGAGACACAGCCCCAGAGGTGGGGGCCCAGGCAGGGCGGGCGCTGGGCCAGGGACGGCCACGCACCAGAACCAGCAACACCGGAGCGCAGGCTCCGTCCGGAAAACCTACAGAGGATCCGCTCCCACAGCCAGCGAGAAGCTCGGCTCACCTTGCTGGTCTTGGACGCCGGTCCCGCCGCGGCCGGCCACCTGCTGTGGCACATCCCAGGGCCAGTGCTCGCCTGCACGGGCGTGAGGCTCCCGGACGCCAGCAGCTGCTGGGCCCTGTGCTGCCAGCTCACCGTCCTCTCGATCATGTAGCGCAGGGCGTCGCCCTCGGGCAGGCGCACGCGGAGGCGCTGCAAGGAGGCCAGCAGTGGCAGGATCTTCTCCAGGGGCGGCTTCTCCGAGCGCCGGCAGAGGGGGCACAGCCAGACGCGGGGGCCGG